TGTAGCTGGAATGCTTAGTGGGAACAGGTGGTGTTCCAAAGAGAAATTGGATGATTTCAATTTAGTTGGAAGACTATTTGAGCAAAACAATAATTTGGTAGAATATGGAAAGTTCCAAATACAACTGACATTCAAATATCTGAGAAAATGTGCAGTTAAAGTGGAAAGATATTGTTTTTTTCATTTATTATCCCTGGACATACCTTGCATCCCTTATTCTTCAGAAGCCTCCCACTCCGAGACACAATCAGAGACAGCACAGGTATTCCATATCCTCCCAGAGTGGCCCTGCAGGGGCCTTTCTATGGGTCAAACTCTTTTGGACATTTTACTTGAGGACAGGGTTGCAGATCCGGAAGACCTTTCAAACTGCTGCCTCATACTTACTTTCAAAATCATATTTCCTTAATCTAATTATTTCAATTCCTGTATAACACAGGAGTAGACAGGCCAGAAGTATCTTGAATGACACAAGGAAATGGGCCTAGGATCTTATTTTGCTACTAATCACCCTCAAACTATGTAATAGTTGATTATATTCAAAAAGTATGCACAATGGAAATTTCATAATTCACTGCACATCACTTATTCCCTCTCCTCCAAACTAGCCTTCCTTCTCTGAAACAATAAATGATCCTTTCCAAGTGTAACCGGAAAAGGGCTTCTGAAATCTTCCCACTGCAGGGCAGATGGCGGTCTTACAGTTAGTTTGTCTTCTCCCAGGTCAGCACTGTGACCTGAGGGAACAGGAAACTCCTATTCCTACCTGCTCACCTGGTCACCAACATCTCAGGGAGCTGAACCTTGTCCATGGCCAATAAACCTGTGGGAACAGCCTGGTGTAGTGGAAGAGAAGGGGCTAGTATCTGATAGGTCTTGGCTTGAGTCCTAGATCTGCAGTCCTCAGTATGTGACTGTGGGCATGTGTTGGGCTTTGATCCCTCACTTATAAGACAAGTCTGTACAAAGCTGTACTGGTGATGAGAGAGAAATGCCATACAAGGGCACTGACTGACACATACTAGGTGCTCAGTAAGTGATGGTGGAGGTTATTATTAGAGCAACAGAATGAAATATAGGAAAGAATAGAATTTTAAAGAACCAAAATGTGAAATGCCTTGACCATCAGTTTTAAAACATATTTAAACAAAATAATCTCAATTATAACATAACACTTCACAAAATTAGAAAACAGTTTAAATCTTAAGTGTCAAATCATGTTACAGTATAAATCTCGCAAAGTATTTAGCAATACAGTATGGATGGAAACAATTCAAACTCCCAAACATTTGGGGGTCGAAAACAAATACTTTTCAATAATATTAAGTAAGAACTTATTATGGAACCAGCTCAGATGCCTGTCAAAAGATGAATGAATAATGAAAATGTGGTTATACATACACAATGGAGTTTCACTCAGCCATAAAGAAGAATGAAATTATGTCATTTGCCAGTAAATGGATGGAGCTGGAGAATATCATGCTAAGTGATATAAGCCAGACTCAGAAAATCAAGGGTAAAATGTTTTCTCTCATACAGGAAGGCTAGAGCAAAATAAGGGAGAAGATGGGGAGGGGTGAGATCTCATAAGATTAGCGGGAAGATCAGAAGGAGATTGAAGGGGCGGGAAGAAAGATGGGAAAGAGAAGAGAACTCAGAACGAATTTGACACCATTACACTATGTGCATACATAAAGATACCATGGGAATTCCACCTTTATGTACATCTATAAAACATCAATTAATAAAAGTAAATAAATAGAAGGAAGACCAGGAAAGTAGAGAAAGGAGAGTAGAGGGAGGGAGGCGGGGAGGGAAAGAAGAGGCTGGGAACTGAAATGGAGCAAATTAAATTTCATGCATGTACGATTATGCGAAAATGGACCCCGCTGGTATGTACAACTATAATGCACTAGTACAAGCATTTAAAAAATAAGGCCTACGGCCAGAAAGAAGAAGATGTTAGTTTGAAAGGAAATAACAGAAGCCAGAATACCTGATAACAAATAAGTCATGCCTCAAGGAATTACCTCCAGCATGGTTTTCAGCCCGGCTACCTGGCACAATTAGCTAGAGGTTTTGAGATTTGATTGAATGTTTTTTTTTGTTTTGTTTTATTTTGGTTTTTGGTAAGCAGATTCTTTTTAGCATATTCAGGGTGGGCTTGGGCATATGTATTTTCAAAACCTTGCATGGAATTCTGAGCCATGTTGTGTATACAGACCTGTTCCCCAGGATACAGCAAGTCAGAGGGATTCTCTCAGTGGGATTTTGGAGTTAGCCCTTAATGCAGCAAGCTTGCAGGCATGGATCGGATCTGGGGAATGAAGTGAAGCTCCCCAACTCCCCACAGGTTTGGTTTGCTCCATGCATCACCAGACCAGGAGGGACTTCCTCCCATCTCCCACCCCCGAGGTGTGATTCTATCATCTCTCTGCTCTTTGAGGACGCTGCTGATGTTCATTTTCTTCTGATTTTACTTAAGTATGATTCTTGAAGGGGAAGGACATTAAAGATATTAATGTGGCCACGGGAGAGAAGGCTGAGAACTAAGTGAGGCACAGGATTTGATGAAGCACTTGCACATTTGTAGGAAGTGGATAACGTGGCTTAGTTTTATGGATAAACAGATGGAGAGGACCTTGTCCATATTTGAGCCTGATTTGGATGATGCAAGCAGGTACTGTCGTGGCATACAGCTCTTGTGGGGGTATTCTGTGTGTGGCAGGGTGGACCTTAATGGACGGACTTGCAGGGGGATCCTTGCAAGCCTCCTAGTTTTCACACTGTAGCATAATCACCTCCTTCTGAGTGTGGCCTGACCTGTGGCTTGTTTTCAACCAAGAGAACATGGCAGAAGTGACAGAATGTTCCCGATGAGATGTATGTGATGATATGATTATGTTATATAAGATTTTAGTATATAATCTTTTTCTTTCTTGCTGGCTTTGAAAAACTGAGTGGCTACTGGAGACCCTATATGCCAAGGAACTGTGGACATTTTTTAGTTTGAAGGTGGCCTCTGGCCAAGAGTCAGCAAAAAATGAAGCCTCAATCCTACAAGCACAAGGAACTGAATTCTGCTAATAACCTGAGTGAGACTGAAAGGGGTCCCTTCCTTTACCGAGACTCAGATGAGACCAGATCTCTGTCCTTTACAGGTAAAACCCTAAGCAGAGGGCCGAGTTCAGCAGGTATCCGGCACAGCACAATCCTGGGAGGGGTTAAGCAGGCTTTGAACCCTAAGGAGCCTTCTTGCCTTAAGCTAGTCCCAGTCCTGTTGTCGACTGTGGTTTACGACATGTACAAACATGGTACCTGAACCAGCAGAGTCATTGGGCCACTCTTATCGATTTCCAGAATCTCTCCATTTTTCGTTCCCACCAGGATATGACCATGTCCCAGAGTGATGGCACGAATTGAAGGGTTATCTTCCAAAAGCAGGCCTGGGGGGTGGGGGAGGGGATATTGCATTTAATACAATGACAAGGCTGACTCTTACTATAGATTGGAACTATAAAAAAATCAAACATAAAAAAACCCCAAAGTACTAGGTACTGGACAATCATCCTTGACGTTTCTACCAGGGACTAAAAGCCCTAACTATGTAAGAAAGAGAACTGGCTGGGTTATGAGCTATTACTACAAGACGTTTAGTACTGTCTTTTCCATTCCCATGAACAGAAAGGCTTCTACAGCATATTCAGGAGTGGCACCTTTTGAGCTAGTTGACAACGCTGCTCTTTTAATGGCATAAGTCTTCAAGCATCTCTCAAACATATCATCCCAGAGCTCCACGATTCCATCTTTTCCACCCGTTACAAAGCCCTGTAAAGGCACAGATGGCAGGTATTTTATACACGGCAAAATGGCCACTCACCCACCTGGCCCCAATAGGACTGCCTCTTGGGTAAGGCAGCTTTGTGTACGTTTTCTTTCCAAGTATATAAGACTGAAAAAATCTGGTGATAACAGTCTTCACGTAACATGTCCTGGAAGCATCTCTCTAGGAAGATTAAACACATTTTTATTGTGTGTCTTTTTATTGGGTGTCTTTTTATTGGGTGTCGATTACTTTTCTTCAGACCACTGGTCAGCACTTGCCCATTGGATTTGATTGTCTGGCTGGTTCTGTGCCCAGGATCCCCAACCAGAACATGGATTCCCATGGGACAGGAAGAGCCTCAAAACCTAGCAGAGCTCCTGGTATCTCATATATACCCACCAAATGAACTGGGATTAACATCACAATTAAAAACAATTGTCAAGGACTGGGGATGTAGCTCAGTGGTAGAGGGCTTGCCTAGCATGTGTGAGGTGCTAGGTCCAGTACAGGGGGAATTGTTAAATATTTAGAAGATTAACTAGGAACTTCCAAGATAAAATATTATTTGTTGTTAAGAATAACTTAAGCAACCAATAAAAAAAAATTAAAAATTTAAAAAAGGAAAAAAAAGAATAACTTAAGTACTTAATATTATGAAGTCATATTGCTGTTTTGTTCAATAATTTCCATAATAATTAATATCCAGATTAATTTTTATAAAACCTAGAAAGTAAAAAGCTTAACATGCTGAACATTCTTCTACTGAACAGTGATCTTCATTCTTGTTCCAGCTTATGATTTATTGGCTTCATTAGTTTTCCTTTCTGGCAATTTATCATATACACCAAATGTTTATGGAAGTTTTTTTTTTTAAGAAAAAATACTGAGTTATTTTCTCAAACTTTTAATTTAATGCACTTCAATGAAGCTCACAGGAAATACTACTTTGGAGTTTAATACATTAAATATCCTTATTATAATTGGCCCTCTGAATCTTTGGAGGATTGAAAATATAAGGGAAATAAAAGCACTGCATCTGTAATACTTTTCTTCTTGTCATTATTCCCTAAAAAATTCAGAACTACAAGTATTTATATAGTATTTACAATATTAGGTATTGTAACATATACAAAAGTTATATACAAACACTATGTCATTTTATGAAAGGGATTGGATCATTCTTAGATTTTGGTATTCACAGAGGTGTGGGATCTTTGAAGCAATTTCCCATGCTACTGAGGACAACGACATAGAATTTGTAGCCAGGAAGATTCAATCCCCAAGTTAAATTTAGATGGAGTACTTTATATTGTGATACCCTTGTTTATTCCCCCCCCCATGATTTTGCAATTTAACTTCCCAAATAATAAGAGTTTTCCCAAGTTATATCACACCAACTTCTAGGACTACACAACTTTGAATTCTGCTTGAATCTTTTCTAACATCTGCAATTTAACCCCAAACAAATTGCCAGTAGAATACAGCTTAAGCACTAAAACTACTATCGTAATTATGCAACAACAGAACTGACTTCTGTTGTGGGATCAGCATGTACCTGGGAAAGGTAAGTGGAAAAATGAGGGTTAGCTTACTTAGGTGTGTTGATGGCTTAGACTGGAGGTCAGAGAGCACAGAGAAACTGGTATCACCGCAAATTAGAAATGAATGAAAAAACCGGTATTTGCAGGCAAGTTGACTGTGAAGAGTATTTTTAAAACACTGAAGGTAAAGGTCATCTTTGTAAGGGAACACTGCAAGCAGGTGGGTAGCTAGGCAGACAGACTAAGATGAGTGGGAGTGGAATTACATCCCATGAGCAGACTTCACTTTAACACTTTCAGAAAAAGCTAAACCTGTCTACACAGAAGCAAGCTGGTTATGAACAGAACTTCTGCTCATGACTAATTGATGTGTAAAACAGTAGTCCAACCACTTGGGACTTCCTGGTCTTGATCCATTGTGTCACTGAAGAGCCAGCAATGAAGAAATACTTCAGGACTCTTCTGCTACAGAGTTCCCATTTATCCGGACACTTAAAGGGCTCTTAGTGGTGAAAGCTAGAAATACAAGTGTGAAAAAGTGGAGAAATTGCACATAAAGAAACAAAAGAGAAACTATAAAAATATCTGCATTCTCCTTATCTTCTTTTGATTGGAGCTTCCATGATAATGGCTTCCTAAATCAGGGCTATTTTTGGATCCAGGCATCCTCTTAGCAGGCTTTTGAGACTACCTTATAATTTTGGAGGGCTGATGAGGAAAAGAATTCATACCACACCTTATCCAACGCGTACATAGCAAACACAGGTCCATCGTGAGCTTTCACTGTCTTCAGTAGTAAGACATCTTTCCAAATAAAAATATCTCCAGTAGCTGCTCCTGAGAACACCAGATCTTCCATCCGCCCGTAAGAGACACACATCATGGTTTCCAGTTTTCCAGCACTTCCAAAAATTCCTCTTTTAGAGGTGAAGCCCCCACCTGGAGTAGACCCAGAGTAAACATTACTTTAAAAAAAGTCGGTACCTTCTATAAGCATACGGGAAAACTATTTTCTTCAATGAAAGGCCCAGAGTGTGAGCATTATATGTAGAAAGATGTGTAAAAATGATGGAGCATATCATAAACAAAAATAACATAGAAGTATTTCTCATTCATTCATTCAGTATTTAGTGAGTCCCTATTTTGTGGCAGGCAAACTGATAGTGCTCAATGCTGGGGAATATAAAGATGAAAAGCAAGAGTTCCTGCCTTTAAGGAAGTAGGGTCTGACTAGAGAAAGGACATAATATGCATCTCAGACTAAGGTTTGCATCTAACCAAGGCTCAGTGAAAGCTTTGTGCCAGCCAGAGGAAAGGTTGACCAAGTGTCTTGGGGCACAAGGAAATTCTTCATGAATGCTGATGAAAAATAGTCAGGACTGGCTGGACATGTAAAATATAAACATGCTATACACGTTCTGCCTCAATTTTTCTCACAGCAATTTGGGGGTGAGAACCAATTGTCATGTAGAAGAAGGTGGTATCTATGGTGACAAACCATCAGGTTTGTTCCCTTGGTGTTCCCATTTCCCAGTGCTCCCTATTGCTGAGATACCCAGTTCCATCTAGGACCGCTGCACCCAGGCTGGCTCTCCACACATACCACTAATTCTCTTTCCTTTACAAGTGGAAAGCATCGGAACTGTAGCCTGTTTATGTTTTGTGCATCGTAAGATTAAGCTTAGAGGGGCTGGAATTGTAGCTCAGTGGTGGAGCACTTGCCTAGCTGGGTTCAATCCTCAGCACCCCATAAAAATAAATAAATAAAATAAAGGGATTGTGTCCATCTACAACTAAAAAGATTATTAAAAAAAAAAAGATTAAGCTTGGAACCAAAGCTGTTACTGAGAATTCAGAAATAATTGCAATAATGAGTCTGGCTTATTAGTGAGAAAAGTAAGATACTCTTCCATGTCGTGTCAAGCTTATTTAGCCATTGCTACTGTCAATATATAATCCACAAATACTGTGTGCAAAGTCAGAGTTTAATTTGTGTACTAAATTCAGTAATAGATTAATAATAGAACCCTCAAAATACTGAAAGCTTTATTCACCCAAAGTGATTATTTCCTGCTCACTAGTCCAACATAATTATTGCTTTCAGTACAGTGACTAAATATAAGAATTATTATTTTCATAGCAGAATATTTCCCAAGCTTTCTAGACACTGATGAATATGCATGGCATCATATAGTATGATATAGTATGTAAATTTCAGCTTAGATATTAAACAATCCAACATAAATTTGGAGAATGATATATCTTAGGTGCATTTTTATATTAATTTGCAGAGACAGGCCACATAGTGTCAATGGTCCTACATCCTTAGTCCCTGGCTCAAGGAAAGCTTTCAACTATATGAATTAGCCCAAATGGTAGTACCTGCTTGTTGCCAGAATTTGATGTGTTTCATCCCAACTGTAACCAGCTTGTCAACATGGTGTGGGTTACACTTTACCACAAATATTTTATCTTTATGTCCTCTGTAAGAAACAAATAAAAAAATCTAGTTTAGATTAAAACATTAATAATGTGCTTATTAAAAGCACATGCAACACAACAACTTAATTAGAAAATGATTTTGAAATGCACCTGGGGGTCTACATTAAAATATCATTGGCTTTTCTGTGAATGTTTGATCTTTATTCTTACCCTATTATTGCTACCAAAGTCCACTTACTTATGCTTTAAACAAATTAATGAAATATTTAATATGTATTGAATGTCTTCATAATGTAAAACTAATGCTACCATGGTGGGACTACAAGTAATTCTGGGGATATCAAGATCCTGCACAGTAGGAAGGAAAAGGTACTGCAATAATATTAATGAAAAGCTTCAAATGTACCATTCTTACTGTAGAAGGCATCGCTTTGGCTTACACAGATTTTTGGTTAGGAATGTATTCACTATAAATAGAAGCTTCTGGCCAATGAAAAGAGAAAAGATGTCACCTACTGATTCAAGGCACTTTAGGATTCTAAATGTTCAGAAATTTAGATTTATAACCAAGAGGCAGAAAGACAAGTATAAAAGTAAGGACTGATTATACTCCTGAGCTATAAGACCTGGCATCAGGGAAATTTCTGTTTTAGAGTACAAAGCCATCACATTGGAGTCTACAGATTTCCTGTTCTTAAGGCACTATTTGATGGTCTTCTCTGGCATATTAGCAGATAATTTTTGTTATGCTTAAAAAATCCATTAACAAAAAGAAAAACAACTAATCAATATCTCTTATGTATAAAAAACCTTAAATAAAATATTAGCAAATAGAATCCAAACGCTTATTAAAAATAATAAATTATGATTAAATGCAAGAATAGCTGAACATTAAGGAATCAAATAATATAACTTATATATTAATAGGTATAAGGAGAAAAATCATTTTTTTCATTTTTACAGAAGCTAAAAAGTTCCTGGTCAAAAATCTAATATTCATGGATTTTAAAGAAATCTAATACTCAATAAAATAGGGATTAGAGGACATTTCAGACTTAGCACCCTTTGACATTTACATTTCCCTGTACTCCCTGTCCTTGAGAAACTCAGTCAACTGTACACAGGTTGATTCTCTGAACATGTTGCATGCCATGACATCA